AGTGCCGCCGGGATTGGCTGTGCGCAGGGAGCAGGGTGGCGACCAAAATGGCTGACTAATGAACTGAGCTGGAAAGGCAGGCTCATGTGATCGCCCGCGATTCCCAGGATGCTGCCGAGACGCTGCCGATGCGGGGCCGGCAGTCAGGCGCTCCTCGCCGGGCTGTGCCAGCCCGCTGGGGAGCGAGCGGAGCGCGGCCGCACCCCCCATCCATCGGGTCCGGAATACAAAGGAGCAGAGCCAGCAATACAAAGGCACATTTGTATTCCGCTCGCATCCCTGCGTGCCACTACGGGAATTCAATCGGCACCTTTGTTTTCACGGGAGGTGTGCGAGGCGCAGTTTGCGTTTTATTCGCTGTGCCGTCTTCTCAGGGGGCACCTTGGAGCTAGAATTTCCCGTGTACAAAAAATGGTAGGATGGATTTATTGTCTCAGGGTAACAGGAAGGAAAAAATGATCTGGCTCTGAGTACTCCAGTGGCTGAGGATGAAGCTATTCCAGCAGGGCATGTGCACATGGAAGGACAATAAAGGAGAACCCCACAAACACTGTGACCCCATCTTATATTTCAAAAATCTCCCCTGAAAACTGTGCTGTTCAGGTGAGGCTGACAAATATTGTCTCTCAGCAGGAAGAGAAACAGGCTTTCAAGTTCTCAACAACAATATAATAACAGTATTTTACAATAACAGCACTGCATTACCTGTCCCTTCCTGACTGGCTGAACCTCACCTGTGTCCCCAACCCACAGGGTCCTGGTGCTGGAAGACAAGAGGTCCCAAGTCACCAGACAGGTTTCTCATTCCCAAGGTCGCTATAGTGTCACCACCCACTTCAACAATCCTGTCAGCCACCAATAAATGAACTTACCCAACTTCATTCCTGTGTGGCTCCAATACATTTGAGGAGAGCAGATGTGCAACATCCATCTGAAATGGATGGACCATCACCCTTGGAGAAGGCTGTCACCAGAGCAATATATTGTGTAATATAATATGTGCCCAATGCATGGGACCTTGACTACTCTCTGCTTTTTGTTCCCCTAAGAAATACTCAGAGGGATGTACATCTGTTTCTTGGGGATGTGAAACACCAAAACAGATTGCTGGATAAAGAATCCAGCATGCCAATGCAGACAGCTTTCAGAAGAAAATGGCACCATCGTGTACAAGGCTCAAAACTGGGCAAGAGGATGAAGAGTTGCTATTTCTGACTGGCAAGAGGAAGCAGTTACTTTTGGTGAAAACTTCCTGCTTAGTGCAGCACATTTTGACTCAGCAGCTCTTTCCCCATTAGGCCAAACCCAAGCAAGCACCAGGCAGCCTGTTCTGACAGAGATGCAAAGGGCAATTATTTCACAGAAAACAAGAATTACTATTGTTTCTTCTCCCCAAGAGAACAGAGTTCATAAAGCGTGCTGACAGCATCTTAACTCATATATTTACACATCCTTTCAGCAGTCACAGCCTCTAGCTGCAGCATCCACATTGCACCACCCCAAATGCCAAACACAGTGACTGTGGCCATGTACCAACTGCTAGAGAACAGCTGCTGGCCCTGGCTAACCCTTGGACAGGGTCTAAACAAACGGCACACGCTCAAAACAAACCCTTTAGAATCAACAAAGCACCAGAAGCTATTGCTCAAGCTATTATCCAACAGCTCTCACATACAGACCGTTTAATTTCTTTGTTTTCAAAGCAATCAGAGATATCAACAGCACTGGGTGTAACCCCGAGCTCCCATTTCACAACACGGGTCTTCAGCTGAACTCAGCACAGGCAAGTGCCCCACACATCAGGATCACAGGGAAGGTCTGCTAAAAACATCAGGAACCATTCAGCTTCCATTGGTTTGCTTTTAACATGCAGAAAGAACAGAAGCCAGTAATTCCCTTCCAGCTGAGTTCTATTTTCAGGCTCCTTTATGCAATGATCCTGCTGCAAGTACTCCACAGAGATATTTAAAGTACTAGGAAAATGTTCTTTAATTTTGACTTATTTCCAAAAATGAAAAAAAGATAAACAGTTCCTGTTTGGGGTTTTTTTGGTTAACTTATGACTTATCTTTTTATCACCACCTGAAAACCACAAGGCAAACCTTCCCCCTATCCCCATCCTGTGCCCCAAAATGATTAAAAGCAACAAAGCATCTCATGAAGAAAGATATCAAATATAATGTTTCCACAAAACCTTTCATACAACTACCAGGCAACTCAAGGGCACCTGATAAGGCTCCATCAGGGTTCCAGGATGGTCATGGACACAGGAAAACACAAATCATGGATAAAAGCAGAGGAGGCTGTGCAGGATGAACCACTTTCTCCATCTCAAACCAGTCAGGCAGCTTTGGCTGGTCCTACAAACCCTCCTGTGAGCTACACTTTGGCACAAGCCCTTAGAGGCTTTGGCTAGATTGCAAAACACAGCAGGGGTCTGCCAAAACATTTTTAAGATGAAACAATCACACACTGACTGCATTGGAATTTTAAGACCAACCACCTGAACACCAAGCACTCCATCAGCCACCAGTATTTGGGAGGTCAGCTGTACTGCAAAGTACTGGAAGTTTCAAAGCTGAGTGAACTGGAATAATCCACACAAAGAAACCCAAACAAATTGCCAAACCACCCTCAGGACTCCAGGGAGCATCTTTGGGTGCACTTTTATTTCCAGAGCCTGTGAGCAACCCGTGCTCCCATCATTAGGAGACAGTTTTTCCCTTCACTGGGTAGAGATTGCAAAGCAAAAAGGACAAAGCCATCCCTGACATGGAATGTCATCTAAAGAGATAAAATTAGCAACACAGCAAAGTCTGGTTCTGACTCCTCTGCCAGGACAGATATGCACTTTACCTCAAATACCAGCTACTCCAAACCCTACAAACTTAAACAGGAATGGGCAAAAGAAGGTTTAACAACCCAAAAATCAGTAACCATTTCTTAATTAAGAAATGATACATTTTCCTTTACCTACTATGAAACACGGAGAGATTATTTAAGGATTGAAGTAACTCTCATAATTGAAGGAAAAGGAAGGAAAAGTCTGCTTCAACTACCACGGTATTGGGTAGGCTTTCAGTGAGAACAAGAAAAGGTCTGGGGTTGGGTTTAGGGTTTCTTAAGGACTGCCTAATCAAGTTGCTTTTTTTCTAAGGTTTTGCTGCAGGTCAGCATGTTTAAGTACATCATCTCGTTCCTTCTGTCTGGAACCACCTGTAACAAGTAAGCAGGTGCTGCTGCCACAAAGAGCTTTTGCAGTCTCCTCCCCTGGCCTTCACCTGATGTTTGGAATCAGGTGAGAATACAACACACTAGTTCAAGGATTGAGTTGTAACAGGAAAAAAAATACTTGAAATACATTTTCAAAATATTGTGAATACTGACTTTATGGTGTAGTGGCCACTGCCTCCCTGTCACACCTAAGACTTTGCAGCAGAACTGCTCCTGCTGCTCTGTGGGAACAAATGTACGATGCTCTTAGAAATGTGAGAACCAGGAAAAAAAAAAACAAAACAAGAAAGAAGAGATGCTGGGAAAAAGTGATTTACTGACCGAGTTTTCCTCAGAAGACAGAGTCCAAGACACCATGCAAATAGATACTGATTGCTGCTCCCTCCAGGCACTGCTATCACTGCACCAGTCAGCCCCCGAGCAAGCTGTGACACTCAACACTGCACAGGCAGCTCCACCTCCACGGCTTACAAGAAAACAAGGGAACTTTTATATGCATCTTGTAAAGGTTTCTCACAAAGCTTACATGAACAATCACTGCAGAATAAGGCTGACACAGGATAAAGCATTGCTCAACCACTGAGCTTCTCCACCAAGTCCCTGGGCACAAATCTGCTCATCTCAATGCTTCAGTTTTCCCATGTCCAGACAAGAGCTTCTCACCAAGTTTCAACAGCTAAGATGAAATATTTTTCTCTAAGTCTTCTTTTCTATCAGAAGTAGCTCAAGCCCTTGCATACACACCACAGGGTTTATTATGGGTAAAGAACTCCTGATTAGGGAAAAATTACAAGTAAAACTGAAGGTTTTGAAAGGGGCCTGTCATTCCAAGCAACAATTTAACATAGAAGGAACTTTGGACCAAAGTTGGCAGCCACAGACTGCCAGTCCTTCATAGAGCCCAGAGCAAAGTCAGGGCATTTCACCTCCTCTTGGCATTACAGACATGGACTTCTTACCTCACTGGTTCTAGCTCTGCTGAGTAATGCCTTCAAGTACATCAGCTTCCAAAGGAGAAAAAAAAAACAGATACCCACTCCAAACAAATCAGCTCCTGAGCGAGTGAATGCTCACCTGGGACAGGAGGTGACAAAGCAAAGGCCAAAAGCTCAGTCACACACACTCTGGCAGCAGCCCAGAGGATGAAGCTGCTGGTTATTTTTAGGATGGATAGAAAAGAAGATCTCTTCTGTACGCACCCATGCCTTACTTGTTATTTCATTTTAAAACACACCCAAGTACTTCAGAGTACTCCAGCTTGCACAAATACACCAAAAGAACATCATAAAGAATCTTAAAAAGGAGAACACTATTTGCCACCCCACACAGCGATGCACTTCAGCCTCTTCAGGTCTCAAGCGCGCAGTGCCTTCACCACGGGTTTACCTTCCGCACCAACACCAGGAGGAAACCCGAGAGGGTGTTTCCCAGCCCCTAAACTACACCCTGCGTGTCCAAGACAGCCTGTTGGATTCCCAAGGGCGGCACCGATGCTCCTCAAAGGGCTCTCTGTGGGGCTGGTTTTGCTGAGCCGCTGGGCCAGCACGGCTCACACGCCACCTCCCCAGCCGCCTCCTTCCGAGCCCCGCCGCCGGGAGCAGCGGCGTTTCCCCGCATCCCGCGGGGCAGGGGCAGCTTTGGGGCGGCCGCCCCGAGCCCGGGCGCGCCCGTGCCTGCGAGAGCCGCACGCCGCCCGTACGGAGCGCTCGGGGCAGGGGCGCTCTCGAGGGAGGCTCCCGGCCCGGGAGCAGCCCCGTGGTACTCACGGGCTCCGTCCGGCCCCGGGTAGCTCAGCACCAGCACGGGCAGCGCGGCCCCGCCGCGGGGCGCCGGGGGTCTCCACAGCCCGGGCGGCGCGGCCGCGGCGCCGCCTCCATGGCCGGGGTAGAGGAGGAAGAACGGCGGCGAGGCAGGGCGCGCCTCCTCCTCCTCCTCCGCCGCTGCCGCCGCCTCCCCGGGCTCGGGCCGCCGCTCCATGCCGGGGGACAGCTCCGCTTCGGCCCCGTCCCGGGAACTTTCCGCCGGCGGCGGCGGCAGCGCTGCCCGCTCCGCCTCCGCCATCGCCGCCCCTGCCCCGCCCCGGCCGGGAAGCGCCGCGGCCGCCCCAGCCTCCGCCCCCGGGGGCTCCCCCCGCACCGCCGGGGAGCGGCTGGCCCCGGCACGGGGGAGCTCGGCAGGTGACAGCCGCCACCCTGTGATGGTGCAGCGGCTCTTACCCGTGAAGCGAAGCCGAGGCACCGTCTCCTGCCTCCCCTTGAGCTCATGGGCAGGAGCGTTGTGAGATCCTGGGACAAAAGGAGACAAAGTCTAAGTATACTCTTTAGTATTAAGACTGCCAAATACAGCGTACTACTGGGAATTTCACTTGGGACAGTCTTTCGGAAGACAGGACAATTAATGTGGACGGTGGTGCTGTCAGCAGGCAGAAAGCATAGAAATCTGCCAGTTTTTAAAGAACACCCTGCCTTCCATGCACTTGGGTTAAGCTGAAACACGTTGCAGCTTTCTTTTTAAATCTCGCATTAAAATTGCAAAAGCAAAGCCGGAGAGGCTACTGATTCATGGAGACTAAGTTTTCAGCCCTGCCCCAATTCATGCAACATGTTGCAAGTAATTGAACAGATGCTTTAATCCACATCACAAATCACATAGCTGAATGTTTGAATGCTACGTGCTAACAAGAGTAAAACAATACCCAGACTGTGTGTGATGGAATATTATGGAACACAGCTAGGAAAACCCACACAGCTAGGAAAACCTTGACAAAATCTAAGGCAGCAGCAAATGTATTTCCATGTAAGTTATTCAATATACTTTCCTTGTCCTGTATAAACAGGAATTTCAGGTTGTGATGCAGAAAGCATTGTCCCCCTCTCTGTCACTGTACTTTTCTGCCTGATGCTCATCACCTCCCAAGGACTACGTCTTCCAGGTGCAGAACAACAAAAGAATACCTCATACCTTGAAGCTTTCTACATTTGCCTGTGTCAGTTTAAATATGAATCGTGCAGGTGGGGCTGTCCTTTGCATTACTGTGCTCCAAGCAAGTGAGTGGAAAGGAGCCAGGGCAGGTGAGGGTGTCAGACATGAGGCAGAGTTGTTACCTGAGGTTGAGTCCCACCTGCTTTAGGTGCTGCTAAGGCTGCCAGTCCTCTCCAAGCAGGACCCTGGCAAGGACAAGTACCATCTCATGGCTGAAGCATTTCTTGGCAATGTCAGCACCTTCTCCAGAAGCAGTACTGGAAAAGGGAAAAAGCAGCATTAACCAGGACTTGGATCCACCCCTTGCTTCTCCTCCTGATCACCTGTGGTCCTTGCCTGATTTCATGTGTCCATTTTCTCTGGGATTTTCAGAACCTGTTCACCACCAGGAATTTCCCTTCAGCACAAAACTTTAAGTATTTCCTAGAGACACTGTACAGGGTCCCCCCCCTCCCACAGCATTCCCATGATCAGCCATACATAAAAGCATATGGGAATTATGCCTATGGCTTTGTCCAGTCTCTGAACTAATCAAGTGGACATAAAGCCTGGTTAATCCTCATTAACCCAGGAGCTGCCATCTGCCAGCAGACACGCAGCCTTCTCTCCCACCTTCAGCCTAATCCCAGGGTTTCTGGGGAACGTGTCTGTAGTGGCACACCAATTTGTTGTTTCACTTATTTACTGCTCAGGAAGAAGTCACCAGAATTTTTCTCGGACCTTTCCAAGGAAGCACAAAGGCAGACCCATGAAAGACCGTTAGCCCTTCATTTTTGCATCAAGCATGAAATGTGCACAAGCAGGTTCTGTGGTAATGAGATCAGGGAGCATCTCTGCTGGCTATTTTCCACACCTTGTGTGATTCCTGTTACACAATACCATCCCTCCCCAGAAAAAGCACCTAAGCTGCTTTTTTTGCCCAGCATCTTACCCGTTACTGACCTCTCAGCAGAGCCTCCAGGGCATAGCTCAGCATCATCAGCAGCAGTCTCCAATCACGATCCCAGTGAGGAGTTAGAGGTGGGGAAATTCTGCTTCCCTCCTCAGCAAGGCTGAGACCCTTCTCCCTGGGAAGGGCAGCCAACACTGCTGCTCATAGTAAGGGCAGGTGAGTAAGCACAGAGCTAAGGAGACCTGTTCAGTGCATGTGAGACAAGACTGTTCCCATCTGTCCAGCTTCAGCTTATTGTGTTTCTACCTCTCCCTTCAACAAGCAGCCTAGAAAACTACCAAAATATTCTCCAGCCAGCAGTGAACAGTGTGTTCCTGGCAGAAACAGCCCTGGGGTGTTAAGATTTACACAGGAATCCCACACAGGCATATTTCAGTTTCAGAGTACAAGCAGAGCACCTACATGCTTGTATTACAGAACCTGGCTTATCACTGGATCAAGAGCACACACTCGTCTCTTGGCTTCCCCCAAGCCCATCACACACACAAAACACCCTCCATGAGATGCAATCACAGTACTAAATAAAACAAGTATTCTCCTGAAATAGTTCCATATGGAAAACTAATACCTTTCAGATGGCATGGCACACAAACCAAGGCATGGGCTCCCTGAAACCTGTCCCAGACACAGGTCCAGGTTCTACCCCAGACAGTTTTTGCTAAACTTCAGAAAAATTATCACTCACTCTTTCACAGCCCAGACTGGAAGAGCTGACCACTCACAGTCAGCTCCTGGCAAGTACTTCAGTGTGGGGTTAAAATGCACTTACCCACACCAAAAGGCATGGCAGTAATCACAACACCCTCAAAGTTTACCTGCCCACTGAAGATATAACACCTTACCCGTCTGTAAGGTGGTCCTGCAGCAATGCTTAGTCCTGTAGCAGCAGACAACATTTAATATTTATCACAGGGGAAGTTAATATGGTTATCACACATGTGGTTATAAAATCCAGACAAGTCCACGCTTTGCTTCTCACTTAATTCAAGAGGGGAAACAGTATTTCAGACCACGTGGGACTAAGTAATTTAAAAGTGCCCATACTTGAAGTATCTAAGATCTAACCAAGGTATTAATCAGAACAATAACTATTAACCATGTCTCTGCAGCTCAACACAGAACACTTAATTCAAGAGGGGAAACAGTATTTCAGACCAGCTGGGACTAAGTAATTTATAAGAAGTGCCCATACTTGAAGTATCTAAGAGCTAACCAAGGTATTAATCAGAACAAAAATTAACTATTAACCATGTCTCTGCACCTCAACACAGAGCAGGATGGACCAGAACTAGACAGCAAAACAGAGCAGGCCAGTGACAGCTGCTGAGCCCCTTTTCCAACCCACCCTCAAGAGGTCCATCCATTCAATCCCATCTCCCCACCAGTCCCACACAGCCCATTTAATTCCTTTGGCCTGACACATTCCCTGCAATCTCTCAAGGCTTCCTGTTTAGGGAAACTCAAGAGCATCACAACAGAGGAAAACCCCTTCAGACATGGGTGAGATGTGGAAAGGGCCCCGTGCCACTTGGAGATGGCACCTTCTGGAAAGCCCCCTCTGAAAAACCAAATCCCACCCCACCCCCAGTTTGCTTAAGAATAAACCCCACAACATCATGTATAAAAATTTTATTGGATTCAGTACTGCTACTCGCAGCCCTGACAACAAGCTATCACTTCAGCTTCCTGCTCTTCTTAACCCCGGCCCGAATGCCAGACAGTTCCCCGGCGTATCTGTGCAGCTCCCGGCGCACCTCGCGGACCTGGCCCTTGCGGCGGATTTTGGCTCGCCGGAATTTCTCCCGATGCTTGACCCGGGGGTTGCGGTCGATCTTCCTCCTCTTGGGCGTGAGGCCTTTGTTCTTGATCATCTGATAGGTCACCCCTCTCTTTTTATTGGGATCCTCTCCTTCCGACACCGCTGCTTCTTCAGGCGCATCTTCATCTCGAGTTCTCTTCCTCTTGATCCTCTTGAGTGCCAGCTTCTCCTCCATCATCCTGTAGTATTTCAGGGCAGCCTCCTCATCCAGCTCCGACTCATCCGAGGACTCAGAAGCAGCAGCCTGGCCATTAACAGGCGCAGAGGCACGTTTCGGTTTGTTTTTGTTGCCATTCATGGTGAGAAACACTGAAAACTTGTTTTCCTTCCGTAGCTTCTCTTCCTTCTTGTCGTAGTAGTTCCTCAGAAGCATACGGACTTGTGGGGAAAGCTTTTGGTCTATGATGGCAAGGTCATTGATGAGATTTCTGTACTCCACCAGCCGTTCAATGACTGGGTGACTATGAACCGGCATCCTCTTGGACTTGAGAACCAGATAGAAACTGATATTGGCACAGTAGTTCAGGTAGAGATGGTACTTGGTCTGCAAATAGCGGCTGCCCTTCCCCTGGGGGATAGTGCCGTCTCTGACCATTTGCAGCAGCGGGTGCAACTCATCCTTGATCTCCATGAGCTTCACCTCAAAGTCCTCCATCAGCTGCAGGAGCTCTGGGGACTCCTGCTTCAGCAGCTTCAGCTGCTCCTTCTTGGAAAGGGCCTGTAGATCCTTATCAATTTTCTGCCCCTTGCTATCATGGGTTTTCTGCTGCTTAGCCAGGTAGCCCTGGATCATGTCCAGACCATAATCATCCTCCCCCAGCTCCCGCACCAACCGTCTCTGGATGACTTGAGCCTCCTGCTCCTCTTCCTCCTCCTCAGCATCGATTTCTTGCTGGCTCCGCTTGCCCTTTGCCTGGGCATCACTCCCATAGTCCGTGTCATAGTAGAACTGCTTGCGCTGGCCCCAGGAGAGCTCATGGGGGAGCTTGGCCTCGGGATGGCGCTCCTCCAAGTCACTTTCCATGGACAGGTCCCCCTCTTCATCCTCAACATCCTTTTCATCTTCCTCACCTCCTTCCTCTTCTCCATCCTCAATATCATTTTCATCTTCCTCACCTTCTTCATCTTCTCCATCCTCATCCTCCTCTGCGCTGTACTCCACAAAGGGATTCCGATCCTGTATCTCGTCCTCCTCATCCTCCTCCTCCTCCTCGCTGTCCTCGGGCAGCTGCAGACCCAGCACCTCCTCTTCCTCCTCTTCCTCGCTGTCCCCGGCCTCGTCGCCGCTGTCCAGGGCGGCCATCACGGC